GGAGGCGTCTCCGTCATCCTGGATGTGAGTATGGACGGAGGGAGAGAAGGGGGAGAGAGAGAGGGCTGGACGGAGGGAGGTCTGCTGCTGACACCGGTCCTGGTCTGGGTCTGGGTGTGTGTGTGTGTGTGTGTGTGTGTGCTGCAGAAGGAGCGGTGCGCTGCGCAATTACGCACAGACACCGCTAGGTACCGGGTTATGAACGTATGAATCAAATTTCCGGAAAAAAAAAAGAACTGTAGAAATTATAAAAAAAAACAACAACATTTTGACCAGTTTTATTTAAAACTCTGTCTGTAACACAACATTAAACCACTTTCATTTTCAACACTTTCACAGTCATCTGCATGGAGATGACCCCTAGGTGGTGCTCAAACATCTGCCCCGGCCCTCTCGCCCCATCACGAGCCCCTTTTAAACCCCCCCCCCCCCCACACACACACACCTCCATCGTGTCATGGCTCAGTTGGAGTGAATGGTGTTTTTCTCGTTGACCAGTTTAAAACCAAAAAAAACATGATAGGAATTTAAACTGCAGTATTTCCAGCGCACGATTGGGCGAAAAGGAAGTGGAGAAGATAAAGGTGTGAAACGTTTGATCACTGGACATTTGGAGAACCCCCCCAATCAGATTCCGCCCCATGTCTTACCTTTTTTTTTTTTTTCCTAATTTACCTTGAAAACCTCTCTCTGTTTGTGTTTTCTTTAAAATTGACTGAAAAATGAAATCAATTATTACACGTTGAAAACCGTCGAGGGGGCGGTGACTTTGTGTCAGTGGAGTTCAGGTCTGGACGAATCCATCGTTTTACTCCTTAATCAAGCGGTCGATAAACATGACCTCCTGCCCTCCTGCCCCCCCTTGCCGCCCCCCCCCCCCGTCCTGTCGCTCTGGTCTTCTCTCCTCAGACTCACTTCCAGCATCGACCTGAACTTTGAAACGTTAATTGTCTCTCCTCCATTTTCCTATAGTATTGAACCTGAACGAAATCCACACCAGAGGAATTTAAGCAATCGCTCGAAGTGTGTGTGTGTGTGTGTAAGAGAGAGAGAGAGGTAGAGAGAGAGGTAGAGAGAGATAGGGGAACAGGGAGAGAGACCCAGTTTCTCGTCTTCACTTTGTCTTTTTTTTCTCGTCTTCTTCTTCATCTTGACCTGGATGAACTGCAGATTTTCTTCATTAGCGACCGCTTTCATCTCTACCTCCGTCCACAGTCGTGCGTTCTTGATCAGTCCACGACCCCCCCCTCCTCCTCCCCTC